TCCTGCTTCGAGTAAGGCAGAAGTTGTCCAGGTATAAGTAGAGGTACGAGGCTCATTCCGCCTAGTGGCCCGAGCCTACTTCTAACCTGTGCGTGTGTGCCCGCTTGCTGGTCTGCGTGACTGTCAACGTGCTCGTCGGCTCGAATGTGCGTGTGACCCGCAAGGGCACCTGGTTAACCGGAAGGCCCGATGGGCCGGTACCTACCCGTAACCGTAACATCGAGGTTTGCAACAGGGAAAACACTCAAGTAGCGGGTAAAAAATGCTCGCGATACTAGGAGGTAGCAAAAACTCTCATATAGCAGGTAGGCCGGTACCACACCAAGTAGAGGAAGGTGTGCCGGGTTCTCAAGGCTGGGCAGATGAGGACAAAAGTTAGCATTTTCAGAGGCCCGACACCGTTAGGTTGATGGGTACCAGTTCAAGTAGTCTGAGTCCAGGCCCTATACGGACAATATCAAAGCTTGCAACAGTGTCCCCCTCTTCAAGGGATGAAGGCACCGGTTGCTTGGGTGATCGCGCGGACACGAAGTCGCCATTCGAGAGGCGACTTCCTCTCTTCATACGGGAGGCGAAGCTGGAGCCTCAACCCTACTCACAACATATGAATAAGGACAGACATACCGACTGTCGCTACCTATTATGGTAGGCAGTGTGCTTCTTTTGGCTGCCCCGGCCGCATGGCCAGGGTTATGTTAACTTTTCAGTTGTCTTCAGATTTTACGGCGGCGAGACCTGCCGTCTTTCCTATACCGCCCGGTCTGATGCCCCGTCACTCATTCTAATTCAATTTTGCCTTACCATCTGATCCTTTAACGGTTTTAGATTGTGGTTGCCGCATCCCGTGCGACCTTTCATGTTTTTCTTCCAACCCTCCGGCCCTTGTGGTCGGAGATTTTTAATTTTTGTTAACCCCTTCCGGTTGTTTTACGTGCCGTATCACTACGTACGATCACCTAAAAATCTCGGCCTCAATGGTCGAGAAGTTTACTCCATGCCAAAAAAAAATTCTCACTTTTTACTCCAGGCCGTCTCCGGTACGGTAACCGGTGTCGCTTCTGTATCGAATGCAAAATCATGAGCAAATACCCTTGTAAGGGTGTTTGCTCCGACACCGCTCACTGTACCAGTGCAGAGTTGGACAAGTGACTGATGTGGTAGCGAGAAAATTGTATTCGTCTTACAGGTTCCACAAGTGGAAATCCGAAATTCCTCTGCTGAGATTTCTGAAATTTCTAAACATATCTGAAATTGGAATGGCGAAATTTGCATGAAACTTGATGAAAGTGGACTTTTTTTTTTAACAGAACCTCCTGGTTCTGGCTCCTACGATTCTGGGGAGCGACAGTCCGGTTCCTATTCCCCCGGCAAGTCGATATGTAATACATGGGAAACTCACGCACGCTCCTCCCCATTATGGCTGGGAGGCCCGAGTGGACGGCATTGATTACTTCCCTGCGGAAGGATATACCCCCCCTCACCCCTGCATAAGTTAGCCTGCGCTGCTTTTTTCTAGTTAGCTCTTGCTAGTCTGGTTGGCCTCAGTCCTGCTCCTCTCAGCTATACTGCTGTCGGGTCGGTGTGCTGTGCTAGAGAGAATTGAGGAATTTGCAGACTTCTCAAAAACCTGGGATGTTTGTTATCCCTTGTTCCTTGTCCAGGGTTGGTTGGTCTTTAGGCACCTCTTTACAGTTCGCTGGCCTCCTTCCTCATTCCACCTTGGGTGATGTGCCGTTTTCTCCTTCAGTAAATCATGAACCGCTTACATTCCTCTCCGAACCGTCTCTCCGATACTGCAGCCATCGATCTCTCTTGTGGCAGTTTTGGTCAGAGTGTGTTTTGCCCGTCCACCGCTGTTTGTTGCTGGTAACCCCTCCCTGAACTTGAGTTGTGCCAGTCTTTCCAACAGATGCGGTCTTCTCTTAGGTCCGCCACTTTACCATTTACCAGCCAAGTTCTGCTGAAGCTCAGTCTCGCCTTCCTTTGTTGGTCTTCATMCTCTGTCCATGATTGTTTGATCCTCCGCCATCYGCAGAGGATTTCAGCTTGCATCATCGTTTTGGTCTCAGTCCAAACTTTTTCGYGTSAGTTGGCCRCTCCTTCAATCGTCCTGCTGCATCTTTCCTTCCATATGATCCACAACGTCACCTTCCTTATGATTCCAAACCAAATCCTTTCTGCCTTCTGGAACTGCTCGGGAATGTTAGTTAGGAGAGAAGTTGGATGGGTTGTTCAGGGAAGAGGGTCAGGAATAGGGAGTCCCATAGTGCTGAGACTCTTGCCCAATAGTCCGTCGCCTCCCTACAGTGTATTAGGCAGTGTATTATATCTTCTACCGCTTTTTCTGTGCAGACCGTACACTGATCGGAACTGTTGGGGTCTGTATAGTTCGTTAATTTTTTTTTTTTTTAAATCGTTTTTTTTTTTTGCAATTAACTAGTGGGGTCTCCACTCTATGAATTGGTGGCAAGTTTGGTATCGGTGGCAAGTTTGGTTAAAGTGACCCTTGAGTTTTGTTATAAATGGCATGACAAATTGTCTGAAAATTTAGGCCTCCGTTAACCTGCTCACAGGTTCAGAACTTCATCCTGAAGCCCAAACGAAGACCATGGCCACCTTCATTGTGCAGGCAACCGCCTGAGCCCTCTGGAGAAGAAGAGCAGAACTTCGGCTAGGCTTGGTAGCCTGTCGTCAAAAAGTCCGACGAGCGACCTTTGCGCAACGGTAGCCACCCAGCTGTGCAGACCCACATGGGCGACTTTCGTAGCGGAGTTCAATATCAAATTCATTTATTGGCTGGTTGAGCCTGGTTCTTTATTCCTCAATTTTTATCTGAAGTTCGACTTTGGTGCGAACCAAAGCGTGTACAAACTGTGGCTAAGAAGAAAATGAGACAGTTTTTTTTTGGCTCTCCAATTTAGCGAAGGGTTCTGAGTCTTCTTACTTCCCAAAGTTGGTGGTATTTATTACAAGCCATTGTGCACAGAACATACTATTTTTGCAGGCACCCCCCCCCCCCCTGCACCCCAAAATGCGGCCTTACGATGACTCCTATCCTGGGGAGCATCAGCCCAATTCCTCTTTCACAGGCAAGTCAGAAAGACTCAGAAAGTATGTTGCATATGGAAGGAATGAACACTCTTAATGTTGAAGGAATGAACACTCTTCTCTGCTTTGTGGCTGGGGGAGCCTTGCCGCTCTTTCCATTCTTAATTTCTTATACTACCTTGATGCTTGGATCCTTTGTTACGCACGTGGCTGACCCTATTTAGGTGCTGGAAAAAGTTACTAGGAGCCCCTCCTGCCCCTGCCTTGGCTGCTGCTGCGGTTTCTGCTGCGGTTTCCCTGTAAGGCTGTGTAAGCTTAATACTTCAGTCCTTTGTCTGTCCTTCCTTCTGCTGTGATGGTTCACACTTTTCTTGAGGAATGTGAAGTTGTGAATCATCAAACATGGCAACAAACAGAAGGCATTACATATCCCAGTTGCGGAGGCCGGACAATAGCTCTTCTGCCTTGTTCGCCTCTCTGCCTGAATGAGGGAAATTCAGCAGACCTCCAGTTATACAGCAGCCAGACATTCATGTGCCTCGATCTTGGCCATGGGGATGACCTCTCGTACTGCTGCTCCATAGGCGTTATCATTCATCACCTTCCCGACATTCAAACAGCTCGTCACCGTGTCTTCTTCTATTCTAAAGTTCTAAACCGAGGAGATAGATTATCCACACTGTTTGACATTATGGTCTTGTCGTTTTTGGTGATGATGCTTCTGCATGGCGAAGATCAGTTCGAGGGATTGACTGCAATGGGATGAGCAGAGTGTCAACACTGCTGGCAGGCCTTGAGTGGATTGTGCAGGACGCAACGACCAACCGGAATCTTCCAGCTGTTATTTGCCTTCCAGTCGCAGGAAGCAGGTCATTGAGTGTTGATAGGATGCTGAAGAAAATTGACCAAGACAGGTCAACTGACTTCATTGTGGTGAGTACTTACTGAAAAGACAATATGGATGGACATTGCACACCCTCCTAGTCTGTTGGTTAAAGGCTGGCAAACAATTTACCACAGCCCCCCTTCATTCCTCCTTCACCGCCTCTGCGGTAATGTCCCAACACCAATTGAAGTTCCAATCAGACAACTGCTATGTGTCGTTTTCTTTTTTTAAAAGGGCGATGACCTTCAGATATTATCATTGAGCTCATCGGCCTCGAGTAATCCAGATTTTCATTTCTATTCTATACTCTTAAAGCAAGCAAAGGACCCAGCGTGACGCGTCCTGCCGGGCCCAGCGAAAATCAGTGTGGAGGCGCGCGGGACTCAGGCAAGGAAACCTGGCGCGGCGTTTCGTGGAGGCCTGGGGCAAAATCAGTGTGGAGGCGCGCGGGACCCAGGCAAGGAAACCTGGCGCGGCGTTTCGTGGAGGCCTGGGGCAAGGGAATAAGGGTGCGCCGGTCGGCGGTGGTACCCCAGGCGAATAAGGGTGCGCTGTTAATAAGGGTGCGCCGTTTCGCGGCGGTACCGCAGGCGCCACCGTGTGCGAGTGCGAAAGCGCTGTGTGAGTACGGAAATGCGGTGCGGTGCCGAGCGCTGCCATGTGCGATCGCGAAAGTGCAGTCCGCTACCGAGCGCTGCCGTGTGTGACCGCGAAAGCGCGGTGGTGTGTGTGTGTGTGTGTGTGTGTGTGTGTGTGTGTGTGTGTGTGTGTGTGTGTGTGTGAGTGAGTGAGAGAGAGAGAGAGAGAGAGAGAGA